TTTTTTCCACCAGTGTAAGAGGAGGGGATGGTGGCCCCACATCAAGGAGCCACGTGTTGCCCTAGGGCATGTCCTGACCTCCTCCCTTGTGATAAGAAAATAAATGAAGAGATGAGCACAGCTGTTTGCAGCTGAGGAGCTGCTGTGGTGGTGAAAGTGTTTAAATGAGAAACACCACTACAGGCTCTTAGGAAACCTGTTTGTGCTGCAGTTTGCCTGAGGAGCCACTGCCAGCTACCATGGTTGCAACAGCACCTTGTCAGGTTGCAGTGCTCCAATGGAACATGGAGTGGCCGCTCTACGTAGCCTTGAAGCACCTTCCACTGCAATGCAACGGTGCTGGGCTCCAAGCCCATGTGCTCTGACATCTGTGGCACTGATCAGAGAATCACAGAATTATTAAAGTTGGAAAAGACCATGAGGACCATCGGGTCCAATCGCAAGCTCATCCGCACCATGCCCACTGACCATGTCCCTCAGTGCCACATCCACACGGTTTCTGAACACTTCTGGGGATGGTGACTCCACCACCTCCCTGGGCAGCCTGTGCCACTGCAGCACCGCTCTGTCTGGGAAGAAAGTTTTCCTGAGACCTCCATTGGTGGACTTTGCAGGCCTCCACACCACAGGTCATGAGAAGGGACGATAATGGTCCCTATTAAACTTAGGGGTTCATAGTGTAGATCATGAGCTGATTTCACAAAAGCAAGAGAATAAAGGGAACGCTAATCTCAGGGCACAGCAGTGTGTGCGTGCGGCCATGCTGATCTCAACCCCAATGAACTTGGTGGAGTGAGACTGGCACGGTCTGAATCTCAATACCTCACTGCAGAAAAATCTGTTCCTGTCTTAAAAGCAGAAAGAGCAAGGCAACACGTCTGAAGCCTGAGCGTATCGCATATCGTCTTGCTCTATTTCCAGGCAGGGTCATAGGTAGATGATTAGTCAAATTCCAAACATCCTCTTCCTTGCTGTCTGGAGATTCGGCGGGGATTAGCTTTTTGTTTCTGATGTCGAGCTTCTAAAAACCGCCCTGCATCATCCACGTGAAAATAAATAACTCTATTTCTATCCCAGCTCACATGTAACATAGCCGGATATTATAAAAAAAATAAGCACGTAGCCCCCCAAAAGCAGGCCCTTGCAGCAGCTCTTGCTCCTACCAAGCAAGAAAATTAGCAGCACTCCCTGCTAGCTGCATCCTTCTCCTCTCTGATGGTGACAGATCTCCCTGCTGAGGAGTTTAATCAGCCCTCCCACGCGCAGGCTGTTCTGCCCTGGCACGGCGGCCAACGCTATGGCACGGGGCAGCCTTGCACAACTGGAATGAGGCCACACAAGTTGTTTCAGAGCTCCTCGAAGGGCACATCGTGAACATCAAACGTGTTATGGGGTCACCCAGAAGCTGGTTTGGCCATCCTCCATTATCAGTGTTCCCCAACTGACCTCTATGGTTATAGTCTTCCTTCAGCTGGTGTTACCTGGAGTGAGGTGAGGTAGACCCGGACCCTTCCCAAATCCTTTTTTTGGAGCCTCTTACAGATCTAACCCAGGTAGAGAGTAGGGCAGCAGCTCCATTGAGGGGTTGGAGAAATAACTAGTATACTATGGAGAATGAGTGGAATTCTGAGAGTTCCCAGAGGAATTTGAGGTGGGACAGGGCTAGCACTGCTGGAGCATCTAAGGTGAAGTCCTTGCTAAAGTGTCCGGCGGTGGACACAAGAGCAAAGGTATGTGTTGCATTTCCGCTTCCTCCCACTTGAGCTTCAGGCTGGGACTGAGCCACGTGAGGGACTTCCAGGACAATCTTCATGTTCTACTCCTGCAGACTCCCTGGGCTCTGGGACTGGCACAGCTCTGCTGAATGCCCCATTGGTGGAGAAATCTTCCCCTCGTCTTCTGCAGTAGGGACAATTGCTGTGATCTTATGCAACCTAAAGGCATCTTGATCCCTTGCAACCCAAGGGCATCTTGACGAGCTGCCCAACCATAAGGTCCTTCCATGTCGCGACTGAATTCTGTGACTCCGAAAGGGAAAGCTACAGAGGGTCCCCAGCTTCATTATGACCTTCCAGACCAACCCTTGGGTTCAAAGTCAGGTTGGGGGCACAACTATCCAACTCGGAGGTGTTGTCATGCCTACTGTGCAAGGATGCTTGATGACACCTCGCATAGTGTATATGTGAGGGCTGGCGTGAGGTGGCGTGTTTCAGAGAGGATTGGCTGCATGAGAAACCCAGATAGTCTGAGAGAGAGTGTGTGATGCTGCGAGATGAGGCCATGAGGGTGTGCACATGTGAGAAAGGAAGGGAGAGGGGGAGAGTGAAGAACACATGGATGCTCAGGGATGTGTGAATGAGATGAAATCTGCACGTAGCCGAGCATGCGACGTAGCAGAGAGGAGGAGAGGGAGATGCTTGGGATGCAGAGCGATCGCCTGCTGAGTGCCTGCAGTGCATGACACTGCAGGAATGTGTCGGCGCAGAGCAGGCTGCACAAAGACGTGTGCTTTGCGAGTGTGCAACTCCGCGCCGGGAGATCGCCCGTATGCACATGAGAGGGCGTGCGTACGTGTGTTTTTGCAATAGGTTGTGACTCTTTCCTGAACTCACCTGTTAGCAGCCTTCCCTCCCCCCCCCCCCAGCACTCAGCTGCTGGCTCTATTTCCCTTCAGATGTTTATTACATTGTGGGGATAATCACGCGGCAAAACACCTCCCGGTGCCACGAGCAACACCAGATTGCCTTGCAGCAATGTTTCGATTTCTCTGTTTTTTTTTTTTTTTTTTCCCCCCTGCACACAAAGAGATGCAGCTATGAAAGCCAGCTCTCTCCTCGCAGTAAGTATTACAAGGGAAGGAGTCAGGGGAAACGGGCTCCCAAGAACCCAGGGCAAAAAAATAAACTCCCGTGCCGGGAACTCTGCTCTGCTTATCTCTGCCTGAGGAGAAAGGAATTGCCGTCCCTGTTCCTCCAAGCCACGTTAAAAGGGGTATCGTAGAGTTAGTCATTTTTAATTAATTAATCATTCCAATGAACACACTTCTATTTTGTCAGCCAGCAGCAGCTAGATTTTTCCCTTGATACTCGGCGAAGAGGAGGATGGCAAGTTATGCTCCACCCATCTCTCCTTTTAAAAGCGGCAGCCCCGGGTGCCAGTTCAGTCTCTCCCAGCTCGCCGCTGCCATAAAGCACCACCAGCTCGCTCTGCTCCCGTTGCATTTCACTTTTTCGCTTTTCCCTCAGCAGGGTGCAGGAGGTGGCCGGGCTCTGAGGCTCATAGAGGCTTGCACGCACAATCCGGAGCAATAAAACCCCTCTGATTGCCCTCACCTGTCTCCAAACCAAAGCAAAACCAATTGCCGGTGTTGGGAAAGGGACGGCACCAGAGCCAGCGCCCGGCGTGGGGATCCTATCTAAAGGGGAAGATCCGATCTAAATGGGCAGGTCTGATCTAAAGGGGAAGATCTGATCTAAAGGGGAAGATCCAATGTGCAGGAACGTCTGGAGGAACAAGAAGAAAGAAAAAGAGAATTTTAAAACAGAAAGACGCTGAGGAAGACTTTATTTTTGGATTTTGCAGCAAACTTAGGAAAAGTTCTTTTTATTTTAATACATCTTTTTTTTTTTTTTTTTTTTCCCCCCCAAGAACACTGCTGCCTGTTCCTAAAAGCTCTTCTTTTTCAATGCGCATGCATTTAAGAAAGCAAGAAGACCAAGGGGGAAAATAGCACACGGACTACCTGCTAAGGAGCCACTCATTGGAACACATAGCTGGATGCCCGGTGCTCAGAGGAGCTTCTCCCCACCCACCCTATGAGATAGCAGAGCCCCTCAGCCCTGCTCCCCGCACCCCCCCGGTGCTGAGGCGATGGGGACCGGCAGCCTGCTTGCTGCCTGAGGCCGGCTGCCACTGCTTCCCTCCCAGGGCTCTCCGTCCATGTGCCCGCAGCCGGCGGGGCCTGAAGCCGGCATGAATTTCGGCGTGGTCTTCGCCGTCATCCTGTCCCTGCCCCTGGCCCGCCTGGAGGTGAGTCCCATAGAGGGAGCCCGGGGGAAAACGGGGGGAGGTGGGGAGCGTGCATGGAGGAGGAATGCGGGGAGGGGATCTCGGTCGTGCTGCCACAGACGGAGGAGGGCTGTGCCTGCAGGGTGTGAGGGCTGTGGGGTGTTTTGCCCCAGTTCCTCAGGAATATGGGTGAGGGCTGGGGCTGGGAAGGGGCTGCCCTTGTGGGTATCCTGGCGACTGGAGCCCTGGGACCCCAAGACATGCTGTGTCCTTTGGTCTCACGTAGGATTTTGGTGCTGCATAGGCTTCCCAGGGAGGTGGTGGACTCACTGTACCTGGAAGTGTTCCAGGGCTGTGTGGATGTGGTACTGAGGGACGTGGTCAGTGGGCACGGTGGGGATGGGCTGGCAGCTGGACTAGGTGATCTTGGAAAGCTTTTGCAATCTAAATAATTCTGTGACTGAAGGGATCAAAAAGATGCAGTACCCAGTTCCCACTGCAGCCCTAGACAACCAAGCCATGTGTCAACGAGTAGCTCAGCTCAATCTTCCACCCCAACTTTCCTCCCTTTGCATCATGTCTGCCTCTTCCTTCTCCATTTTCAGGCAGTCCCATTCATGGGTGGCAGGGAAGGGACCAGATGATGGCATCACCACCCCAGAGGCCCGTTTTGCATAAGCCCCAAAGGGAAGCAGCTAGAGCTGCGGGCTGCCCAGTGGTTAAGTTTGTTTTTGGCAGAAGATGACATTTCCTCTATGAGTGGCTCAGATTTTGCTCTCCTATGCAATACCAAACATCAGCTCTGGTTGGTGCTGGGGTAGGGCAGATGTGCCCAATCCCAGGGCCCTGCTGATATGCAGGGTTAGAGTTTGGCAATTCTGGTTCTCCTCTGGGTTTCTTAGGAGGAATAGTGACATTTATCATTTTATGACTGGAGAACTGAGAAGGCTTCTGCATGAGCAGGCAGAATCACAGAATCATTAACGTTGGAAAAGACCTCTAAAATCACCCAGTCCAACCTCCAGCCCATCTCCACCATGCCTACTGACCATCAGTGCCACATCCACACGGTTCTGGAACACCTCCAGGGATGGTGACTGCACCACCTCCCTGGACAGTCTGTGCCAGAGCTCAGTCAGTCCCAGCATCTGCTTCAATGGTGGCATGTCACCTCCGCATCAGAAGCACAGTATGACTGCTACCAGGCTGCAAACAGGCTCCAGAGGGGGCTTGCACCCACACTCAGCCCTGCCAGGGACAGTGCAGCAGAGACTGAGACAGGGTCTCCCCAGTCCCTCTTCCTTTTCCATAACACCCATTGGGAGCTGGAGGGCCCTGGAGCCCCTTCAGAGGGAGGGAGCGGGAGCACGCGCCCCAGCGGGAAAATATTTGCCAGTTGGAAAGTGAGGATGCAAACTGATTTGCATTTGCCCCATGGGCTGCAATAGCTGCCTTGCAACATTTACGGAGATGGGCTGAGCCAGGCGTGGCTTTGCCTGGGTGAAGCCCTGTTGGCAGGGCTTTCTGGAATTCCCAAGGAATGGGGTGCGGCTGAGCATTCAGCAAGGTAACTTGGGTTCTGCCGTGCCTCTTCCTGCTGGGAGGTGACAGGGCTCATCCCAAGCATGAGGGAGTGACAAGGACACTGAAAGCTAAGGCAGCCAGTGATGGGTGGATGGATGGATGGCACGGCAGGGGTAAGCTGGTGGACGGAGCCAGGACCCGTGCTTTGTGCCATGGCAGCATCCCACCTGAAAGTGGTTCTTGCAAGGAGAGTTGTCCCCTCCTGCCATGACCCTTGGCATAGTCAGCATGGAAATTCTCAGAAAGTTTCCTCTGCTGGGCAGAGGAGCAGATAGCTGGGTGTTTGCCTACCTGAGACCAGCACATGGGTATATAGAAACAGTGCCCAGAAAGAGTGCTTGAGCATGTCCTCAGCTTCTTTCTCCAGGCTTGGAGGGTCTCCCTTCCCTCCCTGTTGCAGTCTCTCCTCCATACTACCTCTGCTAGTCATAGAGATGCTGCACCACCAGGAAGGACTCAGCAGCTCTTGCCTGTACATTGAACCTTTCAGCATCCCCAGTGCTCAAAATCCTACGTTGGCAGAAAGCTCCAGAAGTGGTGGGCTGGGGGCAAGGCTAATTTTACGGTGACATAGGACAGAGGCAGCTTGTGGCTGTGTGCATGCAGGTTCACAGCAACCCCAGCTGCTGAGATCTGGGAGGAGGTCCTGTCCTTGCACCCACAACCTGCACGTGGCTCTGCTGTAGGACGTGCATGGCACTGGGAGAAGGGGAGGGGACATCCCTGCGGGTGTAGTTCGGGGGAGAGCCAGGCACTGGGGGCAGAGGGAGGGAGGGAGGGAAAAACAAACTTGCTTTCTTCTAGGAATTCAGCAGCCATGCAGGAATATGGGGCCAGGCCTTGGGGCACTTGACAGCCAGCCAGGAGTCCATTGAGACAAAAGTCTTCTTTGATCTGCCGCACAGTTAAAAAAAAGAAGATTGTTAACCTGTGTTAGACAAATAACTCCGAGGAGCTGTTAAGCAGGAAAAGCACCAGCTGCTTGGGCTGTGCTGCTGGGAATCCCTCCTCCTTCACTGCTCCCCACCTCCCGACCCCATGGGATCAGGTGGTGCTGGACCCTAAAACCTCCGCACCAGGTACTCCTAGGTGTGCAGCCCTTGGTTGGGCTCAGGAGGCAGCAGCCAGGTGACACCCAACCTTGTCACACCTACCAACGCTCTCCCCCAGCGGGTGGTGGAGTCTAAAATAAAAGTCCCATTTCCTACACGTATTAAGTATCAGGAAGGAGCAGGGGCATCAGTGCACAGCAGTGTTCATGCACAAATGCTCTCAGCTGACAGGTGCAAGCACTAAAAAGCATTTCACCACCTGGTGCTGAGAATTGCAAATGACTGCTTTGCACCATGCATGGCGCAGGTTGGGGAGGTGCCCCAGAGCTCTCATTGCTGGGCTGCTGGTCCTGTTCGTCCTCACACCACGGGGTTGTCAGAAGGCATCTTCATTGCGCAGCGATTCAGTGATCCCTGAATGATGTGAGTCACTCCCTTGCTGTGCATCCATCACTGAGGCTGAAGAAGTGATGCCTGGGGCTCTGAAATCTCCATCCAGACCTGCTGTGAGATGTGACAGGGACAGAGCGGGGCACAGAGGCTTGAGGGGGTCACCCTGCACCATCCCTGCTTGTGTTGCCCCATGCATGCAGGGCTCAAGGGGCTCTGACTAGTGGGTCCAGCTGTGCACCTGACATCTGTCCCAGGAGGTTTCTGTCTCATAGCATTCAGCACGTTTGTCACCATATGAAGTACCCGCTCAATGGGATGGGAGCACTCCCACTGCCCTATCAGTAGAGGTGATGGGTGGGTGGCCAAAGGATCCATGTGTTTGGGATTGTGCCACCCACCTGCTGCTTTTCCCCAGGCAGAAAAGAAACGTTCCGCCCTGAACCCATGCAGGGAAGGAGCAGCACTGCACCGGAGGGACCACACACATGCCACTGACCGCCCATAAAAGCCCACATGAAAATCCTGATGCTTCGCAGGCGCACGAGCCAAGCTCTGCTCTCAGTTACAGGGCACAGCTCGGGGCTGTGCCTCCAGAGGCATCCAGCACCCCGCTGAAAGAACTGCTTTTCCACATGAGTAGCCCTGAATGGAGAAAGCTAGGAGCTAAGCAAACACTCCGGCCAGCACTTTCCTCCTCTCTTTTTATCCTCTTTCGGAAGTGTGCTTCAATCAGTGCTTGCTTTCCCACACCACTCCTTTGTTGTTGCCTTGCGTGCTGCCAACTGGACCCATTTAAGGTTGCGTAAGATTCCCAAGAGATTGATAGTGTTGCACCTGCCTGCAGGTCTGTCATCGGATGTCTACAGACCTGGTGACTTCAGGTTGTTGGCACCAGCGCCTGGTGACGTCCCAAACCAGCCCCTCTGCCCATCCCCGTTGTCCTCGCAGCACTGTTTGCAGTTGCGCCCGAGCTGCGAGCTCAGCTGCAAAGGTCCTTGTGCCTCTCCGCCCCAAAGCTCTGTTTTTTAAGAGTATGCAAATGGTGGATATAATTGGGCCGCTGTGGTTTGAAAACACGCGCATGCACACGCACATACACCCGGTAATCTCACAAAGCCTGCGAGGGAGTTTCATAACGGAGGGAAATATTGGGAAGGTTTTATCTGATAGCGTAAGGGAAGTCTGTTAAAACGCCTGTAGTGCAGGCAGCAGGAATGAGGGGCCACCTGGAGAAGTCATACGGTACCGGAGGAGGAAGCATTGCTGACTGCGTTTGTCGTGCTCAGGACTTCACTGCAGAGCTGTGGCATTTCCTTGCATTTTTTAGGGTCTACCAACCACTTTGGTAGTGGTTTCAGGTTCATACTTTCATGAGGCTGTGTCTTTCTTACTATATCACTGGTTCTGCTGAGCTTTCCCCACGCTGCTTCGACTCCCCACACTCCATGATGCAGCATTTGCACATCACCCCTCTAATGCTCATTTTCCTTCTTCTCTTTTTTTTTTTTTTTTCTTGTCATCTGGCAGGGGGACCCCATACCTGAAGATATTTATGAGATTTTGGGTGACAGCTCCGTGCGCTCCATCAGTGACCTCCAGCGTGCCCTGCGGATAGACTCCGTAGGTAAATCTCCTCTTCACCAAACACTCCTCTCTCTTTCCTTTGCTCTTTCGGGAGAAGGGAGGGAGCAATCCATCTTCCTGCAGGCGCGCTCCCTCATACCCCACTATCAATGCAGCAACCAGGAGCACGCCCATGTTGGGGTCGGAACTCGATGATCTTTGAGGTCCCTTCGAATCCAAGCCATTCTATAATTCTGTATTTCCATGATTCTGTAATTCCTTAACCACTCAGGGTCTGAGCCCTGGGCATTTACATACCCAATCCCCCTGAACCTATGGGAGTTAGACAAGTAGATGCTTCTGTGGATCTCCAAACCTGCCAGGTCTACAAAAATGGTAGGGGATGTGTGAGGGGGGGAGTACTTGGAACACGGGCCAGCACTTCTCACCTTGCAAGACGCACATGCAGCACGGCTCGCTCTGGCCAAAGGTCAAGTTGGGAGGTGGAGAAAGGCGAGGTGGAAGCAGGAGAAAGAGGGCTGAACGATTCTCCGCTTGAGCTTTCAAGAGAAGCCACGTGCCCGGGGGTGAAATCGGGTTGGCCGGGGTAGCCCTGCCTCACCTCCTGCCCCCAGATAAGAGCTCCGGGGGCTGCAGTGCCGCGGGGTCACTTGGCGCAGAGCGATGGAGCGCGCAGGGGTCGGCACGTGTGGGAATTGGAGCACGCGCCACGGCGGCTGGGCTGGCCCAGGAATTTATTTATAAACGGTCTCTTCAGAGCAAATTCCTTTCTATTCTAACCCTGCTCCCGCCTGTCGTCCCCCGGCCCCCCCCAGCTCGCCTTCTTTCTCGTGTTTTGTCTGTTTGGAGCTTTGTAATCCTTGCCGAGACACTATCTACGGGGGAACAGAATTTCCTGCTTTTGTTTCCTATGCCAGTCCAACCACTGGCGCAGTCTCAAAAGCATTCCCGCTGCCTTTCAAAACGGCCCTGGAGGGGCAGGGGGGGGGAACGCGAGGGGGAGGGCACCAGCTGCGTTCTGCTATTGTTTGCCTTAGAAAGAGGCGACGAGGCTCCCCACCACCGCCACGGCCGCTCCCTGCCCTCGCCCGTTCCCTCCTCCTCATCCACCAGCCGCACAATGGGGCAACTTCCAAAATTAGCCCCTCCGGATTGATTGTCCCAAGCCGGTTCCCCCCCACCCCGCCCCGAGCCTCTTCGGTGCCGGCCCGGCGTGTAGAAGGACAACCTGAAGAGGGAGGGACTCGCTTTTTCAATAGGAGATTTGTTTCGAGTCAACAGTTGTTGCTATTTTTCTCCCTCCCTCTCCTCTCATCAGCTTAACCTTTGCACAAAAGGCAGCCCCCACCCTCGCTGGATGAAATGCAGGATGGAGGGGTGGGGAGATGCATGCTGTCTGTCTGTCATCTCCCGGTGCCCAAGGAACAGATACATCTCTATCGCAGCCACCAGCTGCCTTCAAGGCTGAGAAATACAGCGAGCAGTCTCTTGCTGGCTTGGAGAGCCAAAGGGTACAGAGCAGGCTAGAGAGCTTGGAGTCATCAGTTTCACTTGAGGCTCCTGGCACTGAGCACAGGGACACAGAAAGCCAGGATCAGGAATTCCAGGAGCCAAGTGGACTGAGACGTTTCTTTCCTGACCTTAAAAACTCCCATAGACCCAACAACTAAGGTGTGTTGGGTGGGAGTCATCTCCATTAACACTGGCTAGCTGTTGCCACTTAAGCCAGTCACCCAAACACCCTCTGTAGCCCTTGGAGATCTGTAGGTCCTTATAAAGCCCACCAGATTCTGGGTGTCTGCCTCTGGATGAAATAAATGGTGACCCAGAAGTGATCACACCTCTCCAGCCACTCTGAAGGGGGTTCCCCTCATGCACAGATGTTGGCTGAACAGACACAATTCCTCCTCATGTATGCAGCCTCTGTGCACATAACCCAAATCCTTCAGTAGCTGCTTCAGAGCTGAGCAGAGAGCAACATCCCTACTGGGAGGGCTCAGATAGCACTGAGGAAGAGGGATGGGATGTGATGGGTATGGGAAGTCTGCTCCAGCGCATATCTGATAAACAGAGATCTTCCACTGGCCCAGATCTCCTGTAAGAATATTGCTCCCTCGATGCTGACGTCCATTCAGCTTCCTTCAGCTGCTAAAGCAGGCCAGAGAAGGAAAGAGCTGTGGCCGGGTGGGAGCTATCTCTGAGCACAGCCATTGTCCATAGCTCAGGAGGGGCTGCATGTTGGAGTGCTCCGTAGGGACTATGGGCATTTCTCTATTCAGCACTTCCTATGGGAAAAAGTGGAGGGGTGGGAGGGCCCTGCACAGAGCCGGGCTGAATGCTATCTGCTTTCCTCTCCCATCTTTGACAGAACTACCTCCTGCTCCTGCAGCTTACCGTACAGCAGTAGAGGGGAAAAACAGCCATTTTAGCTTCACTTTCATGTTCTGCTATCAAACTGACTCTAGCCTAGAGATTCTTAAGCTGGGCTGTGAACCCACTTGCCACATCCTGGTTGCAGAAGACCAATCTGAACCCTCTTGGCTGCTCCTTTCCCACTCCAGGTCATAGCTGTGATTTTGCTGTGCATTTACACATGCATGACACCCCAGGGCCTTGGCCCATACCACTGTGCTGTGATTGGTGGGCAAAGCACTGGTGCCCGATGGTTGGACTAGATGATCACAATGATCTTTCCAACCTTCATGATTCTATGATTCTATTGTTGTATGATTCTATGATTCTTCTCCTGCCTCTACCCACTACTACCAACTTTCTCCTTCCTTTTGCAGAACAAGACAGCTCTAGCCTGGACCTGAATGCAACTCAGCCCAGCCAAAACCATGTGTCCCTGGCTCGAGAGAGGCGAAGCCTTGGTGAGTGTGGGGTGCTGCACCTCATATGTGTGCTGGGGTACAGATTATAGTACAAGTGGAGGCACTGTTTCCAGGAGGGAGGTTGGCAGGTGAGCAAAGGGGAAGAGCACGTGAGTGTGGCAAAGCCGTATGGGCTCTGTTCCTCTCCCCACTGATGGCTGCAGCAGGTTGATAACAGTTGCACAGCCTCTTTCATCCTCCCTCCTCCTCTCGGCCTCCACAGATGCTCTGGCAGCAGCAGAGCCAGCTGTCCTCGCCGAGTGCAAGACGCGGACGGTGGTCTTTGAGATCTCCCGCGACATGGTGGACAGCACCAACGCCAACTTCGTGGTGTGGCCACCCTGCGTGGAGGTGCAGCGGTGCTCCGGCTGCTGCAACAACCGCAACGTGCAGTGCCGCCCCATGCAGATTCGCGTCCGGCACGTCCAGGTAAGGCAGCTCTCCCTAAACCCCAAACCCTCATGCAAGGTTTGCATAGCTGCCCGTTCCCTGATGCTTTCTTTATGGTCACGTGGTTCTGCATGATCCATACAGTGCTGCAGTCTCTGGCATGGTGATGTCTGTGCTTTTGCTGTCCAGCAGTTGGGAACTGTCACTGCAGCAGTGTTCCCTTGCTGTTTCTGTGTCTTGAGAGGGCCTCGTCTTCTGTGTTAGAGCAGAAGAACCAGGATGAGGCACTGGCACAGGCTGCCCAGAGAGGTGGTGGATGCCCCATCCCTGGAGACATCCAAGGTCAGGCTGGAGGGGCTCTGAGCACCCTGACTGAACTGTAAGCATCCCTGTTCATTGCAGGGGAGTTGGTCAAGATGACCTTTAAGGGTCCTTTCCAACTCAAATGATAAATCAAACAAACCAGGATACTTTCATTGCAGGAACTGTTTTCAGTGCAGAAAGAGGAGGGCTTGGTGATGTCAAGGCTCCATCCCTCCTCTGCAACAGGTGTTGCAGCAGCTTCTCCTCTTTGCCAGCCCCACAGTTACCTCCTGAGCCAGTCCAGAAGAAAACAGACACCTGACAGCTCACCTCTCTGTCCTCCTCTCTGCTAACAGTGATCTTCTTTCAGCTTCCTCCCAGACAGCTCTTTTAAAAATAATACTCATCCTGCATTAATCCCCTGCCTGAGCCTTAGGAGACTCCCCCAGGCAGAGGCTGACTGGGAGATATTGCAGTCAGGCAGCTCTGTTCATCAGGAAATTCCTTTCTCAGAAAAGCCAGGCTGAAATGAGGGAAAAGCAGGGGGTGCAGGAGTTGTTTTTGTGGAAAAAGCAAGCGGGAGGTCAAAAGCCAGCCACAAAAAGTGACCTGGAAATGGTTTCTTTGAGGACAGAGGTCTCACTATTGTTTGGCTGGAAGTGTTTGTCTAGTGAGCAGCGTGTGGTCTGAAGCGCATGGAGTGGGCTTTCAAGGAAAGATAAACAGCGTGGCCGCTGCAGTGCTGCCCTAGGGATGCTGCTGGGGGCAGTGGGTTTGCAGGAATTCAATCCCACATGCAACTATTTATAGCTGCAGAGCACTTAGGGACTGTGTGCTTGTCAGATAAGCTGAACGGGGTCAGACCCAGAGTGGGAGAACCCCAGGCTGTGGTGGGATGCAGCGTGAGCCTTCCCTGAGTCAGCACTGGTGGAGAGTCCGAGGGAATTTCCAGAGCACCGCCTTCCTCTGAAACAGAGGGCTTCAGCCCCATGAGTTGTTAAAGAGATGCAGACAGATTCAGACAGGCCTGGTGAGGCTATGTCTGCTCACATCGAGCACAGGCTGTTCTCCTTTTGCCCTTCCTGCGGGATCCTGCGGCGATTAATTCTGGTTGCCCCCAGGTGCACACCATCCCGGCCGTACAAGCAGTTTCTGCATGTGGTCAGCCACTCATTCTTCTCCCCACCAGCAGCAGGGACAAGTTAGGAATGGGAGAAACAAGCAGTCAAATCCAAGTTTAGCTCTGCCCTGCTGGTGTGTGCAAAATTAGCTCTATATACACCACCCCTGGTCTCAAACTGTGTGCTCTCCGCTGCCTTTTGCCCTGATAGGAAGAGAGCCAGTATGTAAGCGTACAGACACTGATGATTTTTGCAGAGCGGGAGCTACAGCCACGTTCATCTTTGGGCTGCATCTCTCTTCAAATAGGTGAACAAGATCGAGTTTGTCCAGAAGAAGCCAGTATTCAAAAAAGTCGTTGTGCCTTTGGAGGACCATGTGCAGTGCCGGTGTGAAGCAGTGTCCCGGCCGCCCCCCAGGAGCAGCCGGCCAGCACCCCGTGAGCAGAGACGTAAGGACCTCGGCCTTTGTAGTGCAGGGGAAGGCTGGGGAGGGAGGAATGAGCTCCTCCATGCTGGGTGCTGGGCGGTGAGGCACTAGCACAGGCTGCCCGGAGAAGCAGTGGTGCCCCAACCCTGGAGGTTCAAGGCCAGGTTGGAGCTGGTGGGTGGCAGCTCTGCTTACAGCAGGAGGTGGGATTGGGTGAGACTGCAGACCTCTTTGGTGACAGTATGTGGGGAAAGGCACTCCAGCATGAATCCAGCTTCCCCACTCTGTACGCTCTCCCTTCTCTTTTGGCAGGCTTGTCGCCGTCGTTCACCACAGCCGCCATCTCCCAGAGGAAGCGGGTACGCCGGCCGCTAGCACAGAAGAGAAAACACAAGAAATACAAGCATGTCAACGATAAGAAAGTGCTGAAAGAAATCCTCATAGCATAGAAGTGCTGGCAGGGGAGAGAGAGAGAACAAGGCAAGTGACAGCAAGCTGTTTTTCCCTGGGTCAGGGTTCTGTCCTGGTGCCTTGGACCCTTCCCACAGCACCTACAGCAACTCAGCATGGGGCTGCAGCAGGACCTGAGCGTGGGAACAGCCCAGTGCACATGTTCCATGTATGGCTTTGTGGCTCTTGGGTTTCAGCCTCCCCTTTGCCTCCCTTAAAGGCAGACAGCAAGCCCAACTTCTCTCCACACCTAAATTCCCGTGGGATCTGTGTTATTCATCTCTTCTGTGGAACAGCTCCTGTTCTCCTTTCTCTATTGATTCTCTGTTGAAAGAAGAGAATTAATGTTGCTCTGGGGATCCCTTTTCCTTTCATTTCATTAGTTTAGTTGGCAGAAGGACTCCGAAGCAGCAAAGCGCTTGGTTCATCCCTCTCCTAGCGGGAAGCCTGTGTGCTTGAGAGAGGTCACACCAGGGAAAGAGAAGCTGGAATCTCAGGCAATAGATCTGGACTTTGTCAGTCCAAGGCCTGATTCTTCTCTCTCTGACTTGTGTAAACAGGAGTAATTCCCTCATCATCAGAAGAATTTTACCCCGCCACAACTGTTTGGAGGAGCCTGGGCCGTGCCCCACTCAGGACAGGGGGACAATGACTCTTGGTATCTGGGAACAGATCAGCTCAGCTCTGGCTTGAACTATCTAGAAGGAAATACAAAGAATGTCAAAAGCCCTCCTGAGCTCTTCTGTTTGGTATTTGAGCATTTCCGGAGGAAATGGCAGAGGGTTATAGGCTGCCCAGGGAGGTGGTGCAGTCACCGTCCCTGGAGGTGTTCCAGAACCGTGTGGATGTGGCACTGAGGGACGTGGTCAGTGGGCATGGGGATGGGCTTGCAGTTGGACTGGATGATCTTAGAGACCTTTTCCAACCTTAATGATTCTGTGATACTTCATCCTAATGCTGTGCCTGTTTTTGTTTGCCCTCCAGGTTTATTTAATATATTTGCTGTATTGCCCCCATGGGGTCCTTGGAGTGATAACTTTTCCTCTTTGCCAGTCTGCCTCAACGACTGATTCAGGCGGCAAATGGTGCTTCCCTTTCCATCAGTGGACCTTCTCCTACCGAAGCCTCTCCCTTCTTTCATTTATTAACATTTTAAAGTTTTACAAAAACAAAACAAAACAAAACAAAAAACAACCAAAAAAAAGACAAAAAAAAAAAAAAAAGACAAACACAGCTTATATATATATACATATATATATATACATATGAGAAAAGAACAAAGTAGAAATGAAACCACAAACCCCCCAACAGTCAACGAGGACAGGACAATGCCCTCCCTGCTCAGGTGGACAGGATGGAAAATGTGAAAAGGAGAGTGGGGCCAAATCCTTACTGTGGGGAGGAGGAAAATGAATGGACTGAAGGAAGAAGGGGCATTTTCTTCCTTCCTCATGTGTTTCTGTACGGCCGGGGCCCGGCTGAGATCAGCACTTGCACTGGACCTGCGATTTGACACAGGCATATCTCAGACTGAGGACGGCATCCCATGATGGAAAATGCACTATATGGACTTTTATCACCCTACCTGGACAGAGATTTATTTTTAACGTGCGTGTGTATATTTTATTTGAAAAACCAAAACCACTGAAATATACGACATCTCGGGGAACAGAAGAAAAAAAAAAAACAACAACAAAGCAAAATGAAAACAAAGAAGCCAAATGCCATTCCCTCCCTTTTCCTCTCCTGCTCCTGGTGCTGACTGGAAGGTGTTCCGACCGAGGGGAAGGAGCAGCCGGCGGCAGAGCCGTCCCCGTGCCCCGGCCCTGCCGAGGAGCTGTCTTTGCACATGCTGGTGGAGAACTCAACTTTCCAGGCTTGGACTCAGAGTATTTTTTCAATTTGCTCTGTATGTGTGCGCGTGTCTATGTGTGTATATGTATACGTGTGTGTGCGTGTGCGTGCGTATTTATACATACCTATATAAATATATATATATATGTTCTTAAATGGATTTCATTCCCGGCGGTGGGCAGTTTGGAGGCACACGTTGCCGTTGGCTCTATTGGGTTGGCATTGCACTGCTCATTGCCTGCGAGTTTGGGGCCGAGACAGGCAGATCCCTGCCTGCAGCTCTCTGCCTCGGGTTCCCTTTTCTCTCTCTTTCCACCGACACTCAGCACCACTTCCTCGCAGGAGGTGAAGCGGCGGTGCAAGGCGATGAACAACAGCCAAACTTAGAAGCATGACTTAATTTCATCAAGCTGTCCTCGCCTGCTCTGTGGTCCTGAAAGCAGAATCATGTCATTCCCCCGGGCTCTTTAACTCCTTCGTGGGTGTCCTGTGCATCGTGCCTTCATTGGTCTTCAGTTCTCCCATCTTTTTTTCTTTTCCCTCTCAAACTCCATCAGGATTTTACCCACTGGATGTTCCAAGCTCCTGCAGAGAAAGTTGTGCACCCCTTCATCATCTCCATCCAAAATGGGAATTCCCACTGTGGGACTTTGGCACTCCTGCTCCAACTTGGCAGCGTCATGCATGGCGTCACCCAGCAAAGCCCCGGGGGAGCTGGGGATGGGAGCAGAGCCACAACGTGGGGCTTCTCAGGTTGTGTATGGGGTCAGCCCCCAGCCGTCGAGTCTTAATGCGCTTCGCTTTCCTCTTCCAAAATTTTTCCTTCAGTTTGTAAAGATGGTGAGGCTTTATTTTAATTTTAATTTTTTTTTTTTTTTGCTTTTTTTTAACGTAAGATTAATTTATATTCAATACTGTTTTTAAAGTTGTTAAAAAAAAAAAAAAAAAAAAAACCAAAACAAACGAACAAAAAAAAACGGAAAGCAAACCAAACCTCTCCTTTTCTCTCAAACCTTTTCTTTTGTGAGCTGAAGGAATTAACAGCAGAGACACACACAGCTCATGGTCAGACACAGTGGGATTCCCAGCGCCTCCTGTTTCGATTTCAGACGCTTACACCCAGGCTGCAGCACAGAGCGAGTGCTGCAGGGACAGTCCTGCTCGCTCCCACGAGGGCAGCTCGGCATGCACCTGCCTGCAGCATCTTTGCCAGCTCATGGGCTTCTCCGAAATGAGTCAGGCCTTGGGGATTTCTTATAGAGGGTCCCTTTCTCGTTAGCAGCTCTACTTAGAGGCACAGCAGAATTTCCCTGCGCTTTCTTCACAGCACCGGATTCCTCTGCTTTGAAGGAGCTGGGCCGGTGTTTATGCTCTTCAAAGCTGTGCAAACATTCAGCCAGGTCCCCCCTTAGTCACACCGTCTAGACGCCGTCAGTCCTTCCCTTCTTCAGAAGGGCTGCTGCCTTTCCTGTTCCCCCGAGCAAAGGAGTGTTGCGCAGTCAGTGGGTGCAAGACTTGGCAAAGCCGCTCGCTGGGTTTGAGTCTGGGTTTGAAGTTGTGTTTGGGTTTGAGTTTGGGTTTGGGTTTGAGTTTGGGTTTGGGGTTCAGTTTGGTTTTAGGTTTCAGTTTGGGTTTAGGTTTTAGGTTTAGGTTTGGGAGAAGCATTCTCTCCTTCCAGGCAGGTGGCATCTCGAAGCCACACTTGGAGCCCCCGTCGTGACATCAGATCCACACATGGCAGGGAGTTTGGACGCTTGGGACACTGAGGCAAGGCAGGACATGGAGGGGAGAGGGGATGCATCCTATAGTGGCTCCACCATGCTGTCCATGCACAAGAACCCAGTGGGTCCTGGGGGTGGAGGAGCTGCCTGTGCCAAACAAGGCACACAGAGGGAGGAAAATATGAAGAATTAAAATCTACTTAGGAAAAAAGAGCCCACAAAGCTGTTCTCAAAGTGGTGCAGCTGTTCATAGCTGGCCTTTACACAGCCTGTGACCAAGCAGAGCCGTGTCCCCCCTGAGCTGTAATTTGCTGTGACCAAGCAAACACGTTGCAGACCTGGGAATTTCCCCTCTTAAAAGGCATCGGGAAGGAGCCAAATAGCCTCGGCTGCTTCCAGCTTTCATCCTGGGATTAGCGGAACGAAGAACCCCTGGGCCCCAAAATCCAAGTGGGCTGCCAACGTTTTGGAAGCACAATAGACTTGGAAAACACAGCCCCTTGGAATTACCAACTCAGCCAAAGGAACTGTTTGCAAACAATTAAGCAGTGACCCAAAAGTAGGGAGCAGGGAGGTTTGTGGCTTGACAGTCAATGTCGAAACATTTGCTGTGATTTTTTCTGCAGGCACTGCAAAAGCCAAGAGGCAGCACAGTCAGTTTGGGGATGCCGAGCAGCTTGGGAAACTCGCAGGTTCCCAAATCTGCTGACCTTCAGCCAATGCAGTCACTGAACTGCAGCTCCATGCCCCAAAAGCCTAGCTCACAGGGTTCTCCTGCAGGAGTAAAGAGGAGAAATGTTGAAGGTCAGATTAGATGGGGACCTGGACAGTCTGATCCATTGCCTGATTTGGTGGCTGGCAGTCCTTTTCACAGCAGGATGTTGGAAATGGATGATCTTTGAGGTTCCTTTCAACCCACACCATTCTATGACTCTGTGGGGTCAGAGCAGAGCATGATGATGGATGAACTGCAGCATGCATCCCTCAGGTGGAGGCTGCAGGGGGACCTGTGCCTTTAAAGCATGCAGAGGTGTTATTTCAGTGGAAAAAGTGTTTCATGGCTGTGATGGAAATTGTATCTAACTGACTGACCAAAGAGAGAGAAAGAGAGAAAAGACCTTCCTTCCCTGCATGGATTTAGGATTTTTTTTTCCACTAATCAAGAAGAAAAACAGAAATAATGTACTGGGGGGGCTGGGAGGAAAAGGAGGCCTCTCTTATGTCCTATAAACTTGGGGGTTGTGAACAACACATGGTGATGGGAGCACAGTTGGCCCTGTGGAAAATGTGAGGCAGCCAAGAAGCATGGTACAGGGGCAGGAGCTCTGGGACTGTATGGAGACACGGCAGCATGGCTTTGACGAGACCAAATCTGTGCTTCCAAGGGATACACAAACACAGATGAGGTCCACAAAGGACAGGATCAGAGATCTCTGCCATAAGGTTTTTCCCAAGGGAGGGATGGATCTCATCAGGATGTCCCTCAACTTTGTTATGGGCTCATCATCCACCTGGTGCAGCTCTCACCAGCGGGGCTGAACCTGGAGCTGAGTCCTGACACTGGGGTTTGGCACGGATGATGCTCCTCCCCTGGCTGCTGTGAACAGCCCCAAAACCAAATAAAGGATTTTCTCAGCACAGCCACCTCCAAGTGAGTTAAATGAAACAAAAAGGAGCAGCTGAACAGGATCTGCACTTTTCCCCCATGATACGCATTTTCCCTTTTTCATGGATAGTTCCACCAGCTGAGCTGCAACCTATGTTGTGCTTCTTTATTTACTTAAGTTTCAAAGCCTGTGGCCAAGAAGGAGCCACCAGAAGACGTGCTCTTGTCATGGGCGTCCACATTCCACTACCAGAGCTGCAACAGCTCCCATCCATCCATCCATGGATCTGCAAATGAATGCGGGGTGCAGGCAAGGAGTTGCAAGAAACAGCTATAGTGAGCTTGCAAAGGAGCAGGAGAGTGTATAAAGCTCAAGTAGGGTGGAAGTTGCTTTTGGGGGACTTTTTCTTCTACTCATTTCTACCCTTCACTCAGAGATCCCCCGTGCTTGCCAGGAAGCCCAATGGGGGCAAGCATTTTGCCACCTGAATTATGCACGCACCGGTCGAGGAAACAATTCTGCAACTGAAGGAGGAAATCTCCATCCCAGCTATTTCCAACCTCTATTGTTTGTTCCCCTGCTCATGCATTACACAGCGCAGTGAGCAGAGCGGTGAGATTGCAACACTGTGCATGTGCTTTCAGACATTTAATTTTAGCCTTGCAAGAAGGATTTGTGGTATCGAGAAAGCCCAGTTCTAAGGAAAGAGGAAACCTGTGATTCTGACACTTGACTTTGACCAAAAAAGGAAGCAACTCATGTTGGTGACCTAATGGCTTTAGTAATCTGTGCTGCAATGCTCAGGAACACAGTGGGTGCTCAGAGGGGTTTTCTCACCCCAAGGGCCTGTGGCAAGGCTGGAGCCCTTCTGCACCCAGATCTTCATGCTTTGGGCTCTGGAGAGCCTGGGACCTACCTGTCTCATAAGGACAGCATCAGTAGGGCTCCCTCAAGAGCCTTCCTAGAACTGGGGCACATCTCTGCTTCCTCAAAGGCAAAAGCATGATTGGTGTCCTTTCCCAGATATTAT